ACACACACACACACACACACACACACACACACACACGAATACACATGAATACACATGAATATGGATAAGGATATGGACATGCACACACGCGCACACACAGACACCAAAAGATTCTATCCCAAAACCTCTTCTATGAAGAGAGAGAGAGTCGAAAAATTCTCCTTAATAATACACACATTATTATTTTTCTGACCCTCGTGGTACAGTGACAAAATGAATTTAGCAGATTAGCCATATAAAATTTTTTTTCGGCACGATTTTTTAGTTTTACGTAAGATTATAACAATTAGCTTCCTTGCATTGTTATTCTGAACTAAATTTCGCCTTATTCTTCCCATTTTTTCTGATCCTAGGGATTGGCCTCGTCTAGCTGCGGATTCAGCAATATCATTGGTTTCGTATATCCCAATTTATCCCACTGTATTTGGGGTAAACTGATCTTAAGGAGTAAATCCACATGTGTAGGCATGCCGGACGCATCTCGACTCAACTAGCATGTTTGAAATGTGTAGCCGCACATCCTTTTTCTTAGCCAACTGTGAACTTGGATTTCCTAATATTTCTCCTAAAATCATACATTTCAGAGATTACTTTACATTCTCCTAGTTGCGTTGCCCAACAACTGTTCGGCCATCGTTGCGTCTACTTTACACACCTGCACACACGCCATCGAGATTCCACACTTGGCTCATAAGAAATGGGCGAAATTGCATTTTGCCACATTTCTCGGCGGTACAGGCGGCCGGGCACAGACACAACAAGACACTCTCTTTCTCATTTTCCTTCGAATTGAAAAGTCCCCTCACACGAAGTAGAAGATAAGCTTTCCTAATTTACAGTTTTATTTTTGCCATTCCCATCTGAGATGACTGGGACTCGAGCAGCTTCCCATTTCTTGTGGTCATTAGAGCAAGTGATGAAAACACCATTAACAGCCGATTTTGTTGAAGACTGAGGGCCGAGCTAGACATGTGATGGGAAATGGATGACCGAAGGACAGGGACGACAATGAATAAAAGGTGGGAACCATTTAAGCATGAATGTTTGGTAACTAGGCCGACCGATGACAACCATCCCATTTGACATTTCTCGAGATGAATCTGGTGAATACTAGGTTGCCTATAAGGGTTGACAATAGTGTCCCTGGAACGGATCTTGTATATGAGTAAAAAAAAAACTTAAGAAGACGAAACTTAAAACTCCCGGGATTTCTGCAAAATGTATTTCAAAGGAGGAAATCTATAAATGTAGGTATCACGGTCAATAGTAAGAAGTCTCATACTTATCGTGCTTGGGATCGTACTTTGCTACCTTCTTCTAGTATTTGGGCTCATATTTGGGTTGATATCTGGCAAGAAACTGATTCTCTCTTCGGAGCTTCGTTTGATAGTAGGAATCATACTTAGGCTCGTACTTGGCTTCGTGTTTGGGTTCGTACTTGACGACCTTCTTTTCATATTTGGGCTCATACTTGGATTCGTAGTAGGTCTCGTACTTGGTTTCATACTTGGGCTCATACTTGCTTTCGTATTTGGGCTCGTACTTGACTACTTTTTTTTCGTATTTGGGCTCGTAATAGGTCTCGTATTTGGGTTCATACTTGGGCTCGTAGGAGATCTCGTACTTGGTTTCATACTTGGGCTCATACTTAGTTTCGTATTTGGGTTCATACTTGGGCTCATAGTAGGTCTCA